GGACGAAGGCAATACTGTGTTTGCTTAAATCTTGGAAATTTAAAAGAAACCAAGACTTTAAGTATTTAGAAGATTTAATTTAAAAGTAGAGTTAAAATTTTAGATTTAAGTACAGAATAGAGGGGAAGTAGTGTGAAACTTGGTGCTGATTATATACATTGTGAGCAGTTTAGAAAAAATATGGGAAGAATGATGCTGAGAGTATCATTTTGAAGCCTGAGCTGTAAGGGAAAGAATTTCCTATTAAGAAGGATTATTTGAACAAAGGATTAGGCAGTTATGTATAGAGAACAAGTTTTGTACTCAAGAGATAATAGTGAAAGGCAGAATTTAATATGTAGGTTAGGGTCATAGCTGTAATTACACTACATTTAAAACTCTGTAAGGCTCATAATTAGCTAATTATTTTAAAAGCTATGGTCAAATATTACCCCAGTACACGAAAACAAATGATTTGTGAATATGAAAGTTAAACCACTTGTAACTCTGGCAGATGATGCTCTGATGATGTCTTGTTGTAAGCATTTCTCTCTCCTTACAAATAGTACTGCAGCCCATTGTGGGGTCTAGATTCCAGGCTCATGATTATGATCAATAGATGTTTGGAGGAAGAAGCTGAGTAATTGACTGAATTATATAGCTGCTCATCTAAGGTGAACAAGAAATTAGTAGCAGTGGAAATTGTTTGAAAAAAATGCTTACTTAGTATCTTTTAAATTATTTATAAATCAGTTTTGATCTTTGAAAGCACATATCATTGAAATCTGATATATTTGATATTTATTTCAATTATAAGCTCCACAGGTAAGATGAAAACTCCAGGCCTACCATCACAAATACTTTACCTCTAAGGAATAATGTTCCTTATTCTTCCCTTTCTTACTTCTTGCCTCATATTTACCCACAACCAATATTCAGAAACTTGGATGCTCTGATGGCCTTTGATGTTTGTAGTCCACACATAAATGTAGGGGAAATATTTTGACTATTTTAGTAGGTTGTGAAATATTAATTTTTATATTTCATGCTTGCCCACTAGGAAAGCAGAATCAAAGTGTTTAAATAGTAAAAACATCTGAATATGAAGTAAGTATATGGACAACTTAAGTATGGCAATAACTCACATTGCTTATGATGAATATTTAATATCATTTATGATTAAAGCAGTTCAGAATTTTAAAAAATATTGAGTCCCTCTTTTTTTTTAAACACAATTTTTAAAGAAGTTAAGAATGAAGTGTTTCTTCCTTTGAAGAAGGTCTAAAAGAAAGAAGAACAAGATGTATTAGCCTTATCATTGCTTCCTGCCCTAGAATTGAGATTCTTTGAGACATCTTAAAATTATATACAAAAAGTTTGAAAATGTGGTCTCAAAAGGGGATGGGTGTGGAGTATAAGGGGACTGTCCTCCAAGTACAGTTCATGTCACAACATTGTGGAGTACTTTTCATAGTTAATTTGAAAGAAACCTTTCCCTTTATGAATCTGGAGAAGAAAAGAGACATTTTTGATATGAAGCCTTCAAATATCTGTGAAGCCCAGTGTTTTCTAGGAGTAGCTTATTGTGTTTTGCAAATAGCCCATTTTTTATAGAATTTAGACAAGTGAGTGGAGAATGCAAGAGTATAGATATCACACTTTTCTCAACATGGGGAAGAACTTGTTGCTTCAAATGGAATTGGGTGCCCTAAGAGCAGAGTGAGTTTGTGATCACTGTCTCTTCATATGAAATGGGGAGATTTTTAGCAGGAAAGCTCGAAGGATTATTATCTATCGTGTGAGTTGAATGATTCTTTCCAGACTTGGGACTCCACGCTTCTAATGGAATACTAGAATTATAACTGTAATGTTTATCTTGAAGTTTATTTTTTAAATTGCTTCAGGAAGACAAATTAGATTTATATTTATAACTCAAATAAATATTCCCCCAGAAGTTACACAATACGTTTAGTATAACATATACAATAATTTAAAAAACAAAAATCAAGATTTAGTCTCTGTTCTCACAGCCCTTCTCCACATGGGTAGTGTAACAGCTCCTCCACTTTCCCTTCCACTGATCGGTGACTCTGGATTCCATTTATCAAGATGTCAATTTGAAGGAGAGTCTGATCTATAGACACATAAGGTACTCCAGCTTCATGGAACACCTTGGAGTCTAATTATCCTTCAATTTAAGAGTCAAAGTCTACTTAACTTCCTGGTATTTTTGTATTTCTCTGTCTCACTGCATAAAATTATTTTATTCTCTGATCCAAACCCACTCTTTCTAGGTCCCTAGACCTTGCTTTCTAGTTGTAATTTGAACATTAATTTTTTTTTTTGTTTAAGCTGTGATTCTTTCATTTAATACAGACAGTATTAGATTTTTCAGCTGATGGTGATTCCACTCGATATGCATTTTAAATCAGTTGTCATTCTCTGCCTAATCTAGAAATTGACCTTTCCCGAAATTGATCTCTTTCAGTAGAAATCATTATCCCTGTGCTTTCCCCCTATCCTGTCCTATTGTTTTTCTTCCCAGGAGCTGTATTCAGTATCCTAAAGAGATGGTTGATTGTCCCCAAACTAAACTCCTTACCCTGCTTTACAAAGCTCAGGATCTGGCTGTTGCTTACTCCTCTGATCTCATTCCAGATCATTCGTCTCCCAGCCCACTGTCCACAGCTTCATTGGCCATTGTGCTATTTCTTGAGCAGACCATGGTAGTTCCAGCCTGAGGTCTTTGCAGCAGACTGAAATGTTCTTTACTCCTGGTTTTTGTATGCCTGGCAACTTCCAATATCATTGAGATCTCAGTTTAACTTTTACTGCCATAGATAAGTCTTCCATAAAGTCCTAAACAGAATAGCATTTAATATTACCCTGTTTAAACTTTCTGTTTACTGCGATTTGTCTGTGTCTCCCCCCACCACCATTCCATTGTCATCTGGATGTGGTTCTACTTTTTATTGGTCTCTTCCCCCCTCTTCTCTCTAACCCCTCTGCTCCCGTCTCCCCAGTACCATTTGTCTCCTGCTCTTTCTTGGGCTCTGTTCAGCTCAGCTTGTATACACTGTGTACACACAAACAGCCAAGCAAAAACCCAATGGCAAACACTTCAAAAAAAAAACTTTCTGTAGATTACATATCTATATGGAGTTTAAAAATGTCTATGAATTTGCATATTTTCTGCCTCCCACACAAGAATGGGTTATTCGTTAATGAATATAGTCTGTTTTGTTCACCAAAATCTCTAGCACCTAGAAAAGGACCTGATACATAATGGGAACTCAAAACATGTTTGTTGAATGAATGAACAAATCAATTCATGTTCCATCACTTCAGATGTCCTTATATGTTAATTTGGCTGAGTATGAGATTCAACATTATTATAACTGAAGCTTGCAAGATAAGTAACAGCTTTATAATCTTTCCCTAATTTCCTTCCATAGAGTAGTTATAAAGGTAGTAGGGAAAACATACCTGTACATAAGTCATATAAAAATAATAAAAAGAAATTAGTCACATTGTCATTTTGGGTAACAAGGAGAGGGATATTTTAGAACTCAAAAGATCAAAAAAGATGCCACTAGTGGCAATTACTTAGAGATTTATTTTCACAACTTTTTTGGTCTTAAACCTTATTTTCTTCTTTGACACCCTTTTCATTCACAAGAACTATCAAAATAGCATTCAGATTACCTTTTGCCTATATATTTTAGTATACATACATTATACTGAGTTTAAATAAAGATGTTTTTTCAGGGTGATGCCTTAAAGTTACATTCTAAATCTTTTCATCATAGATGGATTGTTTGACAAATTTCTTAATATCAGTTTGTTTCCTATAAGAGCTGTATCATTTGTTGTGATTTGGAAGAGAACATGTTTTTCATTCTTAATTTGCAGGAATTTTATATATCAAGAGATTGTAGTGCTACTGTATAAACTTCCAGTATTAGAAAGATGATTATAAAATCCTCTTGCATGATCACGTTTCTTATTTTCTCTCCTGCCTATGGAATGGTACCTATGCAGCGGTATTATGCATGTTGTAGGATGTTAAATATAATTGTGTAAAGCAAAGTCTTTTCCCTTGTAAATTCTGTTCCCTTCTGTTAGCAGGAACATTTTCAGTATCATTTCTATTTATTACACTAGTTGCAGTTAGTGTAGAGAAATGTGTATCTATGTACCAATTCATCAGAAAAAAAAATCCTGTACTTAAATAGCTCTGTTTTTCATAGCATATAATGTATAACTGTTTTGTGAATATTAAAAAAGTCATGTGTGTACAATTTTATTTTTTTCATTATTGTCTTGCTTGGTCTTCCATATTTATTCATTTATGTACTATGTACCATTTGTCAGTAAAATCACTGTGTATATAAATGGCAAAAATGTATGTATATCTTTTTCACCTTAATATCCATCACAGACTTAATACAGAATCTATCCTAAAATGTTAAATGACCTGAAACATATAAATAAACATAAAACAATCCATGTAAGTGTAATAATACAAGAAACAAACAAAACTAATAAAAAAAAACTCTCTGAAACTTTCTTAACCCATTACTTTATGAAGCTTTTTGTGTGTAAATATTTAGTTCAGTAGCCAATGTTTTATTGACACGGATATTAGTGCCCATAAATTACAACAGAATACTGTAAATCTATTTAAACTATCAATAATATTTCTATTTTTTTCAGGTAGTTTTCTCTGCTTTCAATAACTATGTTTAGTTTCCTAATCGTTGTTAGGAATTAGGATGAGGTTTTTGGCTTACTGAAGACAGTGTTTAACTAGGACGGAGTTACACAGTCAGCATCACACTAGGGACCAGGAGCTGTGACCTCCTCAGCTCCAGGGTTGTGTGAGTGGGGCCAGGGGTGGCTGGAGTCCCGGGCCTACGGCCTGCATCAGAGAGCAGCCTTGGGAAGAGCCTCTAGCGGGGCTCCAGTGAGGCCGGCCTGAGCTGAGCGGAGTCTGATGGTGCGCCCTGCGGTCCCCGCAGGTGGCAAGCACAGTGAGCGACGTCCAGCCCTCGCTGTTCCACTGCGACACGCGGAGCGCAGCCCAGGGGGCGCTCTACCTCCCAGACATCTCCTTCAGCAGCCAGCTGCGGAGCGCGCCACTGCTCATCGCGGACCAGGGCCCCGTGGAGCTACCAGAGGAGTTCGTGGTCCAGGTGCCCAAGGAGCCCAGATCTCAGCCCAAGGTGCGGCCAGCGGTGGGGGAAGAGGGCTGGGGGTGGCTGGGCAGGGGCTCCTGGGAGGCTCAGCCCCAGGCAGTAGCCCAAATTTGTCTTCCTTTGTCTCTAGCCTCTGCCTCCGCTCGCTGTGGCTGATGTTTGCACTTAGTGATATCCTGGCCTGTTTAACAATGCATGCTTGTTCTGCATTAGAGCCTCATCACTATTTCAAAATGTTTGGCTTTCAATTTCTGATTGGGTTTGAAATATCTTTGCATTATCATAGGAAGTTTAAAATTACTTTTAGTGACACTGTCAACTGTTGTAAAATTTGAATGGTTGTAAAAGACACAGTTTACCATTTCTGATCATCTATCTGCTTGTTTGGAAAAAAAATCGCATTAATGGAAACTACCAAGATTTTTGAGAAGATTATGATGAAAACATATTGGTTAGGAATAGTATATAGTCATTTAAAGCATGAAACCTGATAGAAAAGTGTTAGTTACAGAAGCAACCTAATTTTCTTATGAAGATGTTGAAAAGTGCCTCATTTATATTATTTATAATATTGTCTCTGTAGCTGGCAAGTACAGTGAGTGACATCCAGCTCTTGAAGCTCCAATGAAGAGCATTATGTCATATTTGCACAAAACTCAGTGATTTTTTCCTTAATACTTTGAAAATATGTATGTGTATATGTATATATATTCATCTTTATATATATATATAAATATATTCATCTTTACTAATATTTAGGCAGTTTCTCTCCAAATTCCATATAGACACTTATCCCTCTAATTTCCCATGGGGATTATATATATATATATATATATATATATATACACACATACACACACACATGTATACATACATATACACACACATATATACTATATAATATAATATTTAGATATTTAATATACAAACTATTTATATTATATATTTATTAAGTATTTATGTATTATGTATTATTTATATAAATATTGTTTTATAATTTTCTTTGTGTGCCACAACTCGAAAAATGCTGGGAAGCATTTGGCAGGTGGAACCATGAATATCAAGCCTTGTCCCAAAACACAGTCACCTCTCCTACCCCGTAATTTCTTCTAGGGAATGCACATATCAGAAATACTGGCAAAGGAACATGAAATGCCACTATATTAGTTGAAGTTACCTTCTAAACCCCATTCCAGAACTCTCTGGTAGAATAAGTTGGAATACTGTTTTAGCTCAGGGACTATGAGTGATACATCATAAATCAACTTGAGATTTAAGAGACCTGTGAGTGTAAACCTGACTCTTCAGTTACTGTCACCACATGGAAAGAGTTAGTGTGGGGATGTCTGTGGCACTCATAGAGGCGCTGTCCACTCAGGAACACTGTTCAGTCAATGGCCTAGAATGTTTCAATTCAAATAAGCATTTCTTCCTTGGTGGTGGTGACTTGGGGGCAATGGTGGTCGGTAATTGCATTTATTTCCACAGAAGCATGAAAAATTGACTCTAAAGTGTTTGGAAAAATCAGGGAAAGTGTAGAGTAAACATTATTTAAGAACTTGATTTGTTTTCTTTTTTATTTTGTTTTGCATTACCATTTCAAACCTGAAATTCTCTAAATTAGGTGCACTAATGTTTTTACCAAAATAGACTTCAGAAATCACAAAGTTTTCATCAGGATGTTGACTTTTAAGTGATATTGTAAAGTAGTAATATGAAATTAATATTATTTAATTTACACAAATGCATATATGTTCATCACAGTTTCTAGTACTACTGAGGAAATGAAATCCAGAAATGAAGTTTAATTTTTGAGTAGATGCTATAAATGTTTAAATCAGCAGCTAACATAAACACACACACACATACACATGCAAACACCTGCTGGCCATTCTGTCTTGTGAGAAAAATTCAGAATAGCAGTAATTAGAATAGTTTTTCGTATAGTACTTTTACTAAGATGTTGGCTGAATTTATACATCCCCTAACTTTTATAGCTTAATAAGATTTTTCTATATATCTAACCTTTACTTTTTGCCATGTATGTGGCAGGTGATTAAGTCATGTTTTTCTGTCGATTTACAGATAGGAAAATTGCATAATATTCTGTTTTGGACAAAAATGTAAGTGAAGGTACAGTCAACCCTTATGTGATCTCGTGAATGGAGAAGACTGAAGTAAATGTCATGCAGTTTAAAAGGAGCCTGCAGAATCATGTTAATCTGTTATGATGAGGCAATGCTTTTTGAAAGTTGCTGTTGTGCAAAAGTAATTTTATCAGTGAGATACAGAGCAACTGAAGGTCATCTTCGAATGCTCCCTATAGAAAGAATAAAGAAGAAGAAGTAAATATTACAGGGGCACAATCTTTTTTGATACAGGAGATAGTACATACAGCTAGAGTGCTTGGACAGGTATTAAAAATGAAATTAAAATGAGATACCACATTACTTTGAGCTCTTCAGATTGAAAAGACATGGAAGAATTCAAACTAGAAAATATCAGTGAACTCCAGTTCCCTCCCTGCTTCCCTCCTCCACCTTTCTCAAAACAAAAACAAGAGTCTGTTATAGAAACAGTATACTTTGAGACATAGGAAACTCAGAAAAAATAAAAATAATAAAGATTAATATTAATGCAATATTTGATTGAAAAATAAAGTTGATACTACTTTTTTAAAAAGTTAACCTCTATTTGTTCTATAGATAGGCAAACAAGCAAATAGAAACCCAAGAAAAACAGCCTTAACCATATAACAAAAAGCCTTTTATTGGTTTGAAATTAAACTTTGGCCTTTTTTTTCCTCTTTACATTCATTTGACTCCAGATAGCTAATAGCAGTTCTTGAGAGTTAACGAGTGTTTGGATTCACAGGAATTAGGACTTCACAGTAGAGCAGCAAAGCATAAAGAATTAAAAAAACATTGTTCTCAGAAGACATGTTTCTCTTTAGCATATTAAGGCAGAAGGAAGTCTGAGGGCAGATTGCACAGCTAATGAGTAGATATCAAGACTTTTCCTTGAAGCTAGAGGAATGTTAATGTGTTTTTTATCAGCATTTTCCTTGCTTTAATTGTGATTTTCAGGCAGATGCGTAAAAAGTTCATTGAGATGATCTACAAATAACCCTCCTGCAAGCCACATGTACCATGTGCAGAGTTCATACAGCTAAAGCATTTCAGTCCTGAACAGTCATAAAGACTCTACCCAGTGCTCATTTTTAAAGTTTCCTTTTGCCAGAGCCAACATGCTTTTAGTGGGGCTTGTGTATTCTCTTAATCCTCTTAGTGAATCACAGCCAACCTGCCATCACTGTTTTTTCCCATTTTCTCCCATTCTTCGGTTTTTATGTTTAT